CCCCAAAACCCCAAAACCCCAAAACCCCTTTTTGATATTTAAAAGTTGAATTAGGCTTTAATATTATATAATAGCTCTTTGTGTATATGGTAGAAGAAGGTTGTGGAGTTGAAGGTAAGGGGGTGGGGGAGTGAGGAGGGTTAGATGAGAGCAAAGCTTGTGTGGGGGAATTGGGAGGAGATTTAGGAATTTTTGAGAAGGTTAAAGATTCTGAGGATATTGGAGGTGTAGATGTGTGAGAATTTATTGGTATTTTAAATAACTCGTTTTGAACTATGATAGATTAGAGAAATGTTTTAAGAGGTTAAATCTTGTGAAAATTTAAAGAAAATGATTTAAATTTACTATTTATTGCATCCCTAATCCCTCATCAATAGTATAGTTCTTGGATTAATAAAAGACTTGCCTTCCTTTTATAAGGTGAAAACATAAAATTTATCTGCTTCATAATTATCTAAAGTCTATATAGATAAAGAGGAAGAGAAAGGAGAAAAATTTCAGATAATTTCAATTATCTTTTTGTTGCTTTTTCTAAGAAATTGTATGGAAGATTTATTTTTCCTACCTTGAAATGGAGGAACAATACGTATTTCAAGAGATATCATAAATCTCAGCTTGTTAATGACCTCACTAATATTCATAAAAAGATGTTGGAAGGCCAAAAAGCAAAAATGAAATTGAATGCTAAAGTTTAGAGGCAAGCCGTTGTTGCAAATCTTGTTATTATCCATATTTGTAATGAATCTTGTAAAATGAGAAACACATGCAGTTGGGCAGAGAAGAGACATGGCTCTTATAGGTAATACAATCAGACCTCTGATGGTATAACTTTAATGTTATCAGCTGAATTAGTTAGAGTTTCGATCCCTAGACCTTCCTAACTTTCTCATTAAAACAAACAGAATTTCCCATTTTTATTTTTTAGGCTTATAAAAATTATTTAGAATGAGATAGCTCTTGTCAATCTTGAGACACAAATGGAGGATGAGCTACATGAACTGAGTACATGAAATTGAACACAACTAGCAAGTTGTGAGAATATTGCCCAGATGGAGAGTTTTACTCATTTTCTCTCGATTCTTGCCTCCCTTGAGGTTCGAGCTGCAATTTACTCTGAGGTTATCAAGAGAAATGATTTGAATGTTCTCATGAACAATTTTATGATATTGATATGAGTTCCTGAGTAAACTCATGCAACTCAGATATTCAGATAATTTTGAATAACACTCAAAGTGGAAATAAAGCATATTGAAGAGGTCTAGACTACTATGTAAACCCTGATAGTATAGAAGTAATAGAAGCAGGGACAAAAGAGTATCCTTATAGAAGTCTCAGCTTGGTTTTTGTCGAACTTTTGAATTATTTTAGCAATACCAACTATACTGTAAATATTTATGTCATGGAGTCTACCAATAACTATCTCCAACTTAATAGAAATTACTTAATCAACATAGGCAGAGTAAACTTTCTCTCTTACTCTGATCAGGAGGGAGCAATAAAGAGTGCTAATTTGATTCTGACTGATGAAGAAATTCTCTTATTTTCTCCAAAAACACAGTATCATGTTTTAAAAAATTCTGACCTAAATATTTCATTAGCTAGTGATGCTAGTCCTCAAGCTTTGGGTTTGATAACAAAAATAATTTTTGTGTACAAAACAGAATTGTCATTCACAAATATCAAAATTATGTCAAAATACTCAGATGAAGAGGTTGACTATAACTTTGTGTATGCATTGGGTCAAAACGGTAACTTTATTTCTAATATTTAGAAAGAACAGTAAATTTTACAAATGTTCACAGCCAGACCTCAGGGAGTATTTTGTTATCCCTTGACCATATTGCAGTCTATCTGAAGAATTATTTGTTTGATGGCTACAAGGCAAGTTATTTCATTAATATTATCAATCTTTGCGTCAATAATCCAATGCCTTTCTTTGGAGGGGGACTCCATGCTGACAATCTAACAATGTTCAACTCACAGGAAGAAATTGTTCAGTATTCAACTGGCGCTTTAGTCTATTTGGCCACAGGAAATGCATCTTTCAACAACATCATTGTAAATTCTACATATATTTCATTTCCAATCGAATATGGATTGATCTCAGCAGCCAGCTTTTCAAGATGAAACCCAGATAGTGATTCTTTTTCAGAGGTTATTTATACTAATAGCTATATTACAAATCCATTAAACCCACATTCAAAAATAATTTCTTTTATCGCCTTAGCTGCAAATTATGGAGTAAACTACAGGCCAAGCAGATTATATATCTCTAATGTCACTTTTGAGGATATAAATTTGCATGGATATCCTTTTCTTTGGATATCATCTTTGACTCCAGCAGAAATCGTTGTTGAAAATATCTTATTCAGGAATATAACTGCCTTTTCGCCGATTTTCTTAATGGAATATCCTAATGATTATTACTTATCAAACATAACTTTTGAGAATATTAATGGGACAGGTAGTTCTTACATATTTGCACCTGATGCAGCCTCTTTTCATCTCAAAGGTATCACTATTAGAAACGTTCAAGGAGCTGACTCACTTCATTCTGTGTTTATCTATGCCAGTTGCATAGATTCAGACACTTTAAACTCAGAAACAATAAATCATTCATTGGATCCTTCCCCAAGTTTGAACATAGGTAAGCTTAGGGCCTTTGAGATCACTATTTTTCTTAGTACAATAATCTAGCGCGCATTATCAGCGAATGGGCTTTATATACATAAAACTTTAGTTCTCTACGTATAGTTTCAGAATAAAGTGAATTAATCAACATCTTTTAAACATACTGGCAATTATCAAGTTCATTATGAGTCCTTAACAGGGGTATTATTCATACATTAAGAGTAATAGGTGAAATACTGAGCTTTAACGAATTGCTAATCATTTTCCTGAATTTTAGCAATAATTTTGAACCCCTTTTGATGAAATTACTAATGTCTTCTTAGAATTATTAATCAATACTTTAGATGACTTACTTGTTGAAAACTCCAGATTAGGGCTGAATACTTTGATAAAGCTTTATAATACACTTCCAGGAAGCTTTACTTTGAAAAATGCAGTCTTCTCTAATCTCCAAGTGATGGAAGGACATTCATTAATAGGAGCAAACTATATCACTGGTTTTAATATTCAAAACATTACTTTTGTAGATATCTCAAGAGATGAGCAAGATAGTGGGCAAACATCAAACTTCTTGATTACTTTTAACACTTATGACTTTTCTACAAATGGAAGCTTTATCTTTGATCAAGTAAATATGGCAAACTCCAGTGTTCCATTATACTTTATCAATGGGCTGCAAGATTATTCAGAAAATAATTCGCAGCTTATATTTTCAAACATTAGTTACCATGATTGCGTATTAGACTTAGAGCAAAGCTTATTATATTTTAAAAGTTTGTTCTCAACCTCTACATTCACAATAACAATTACTGATTCTAAATTCTACAACTTGTATTTTGTGCGAGGCGGGAATGTGATTAACTTTGCTCACCAAATCAGTTCTCAACTTCTTATGAAAAATACAGAGTTCACCAATATTACTGCAGGGCAAATTCGTATTGAGTCCTTTGTCAAACAATCTAATGAGACTACCAACGTGCTCTTCCAGAATGTGACTGCTCATAATATTAATGCAAGTTATGTGTCCTTTGTTGCTCTTGATCAAGGAGGCAGACTACAGATTCAAGATTCTCAGTTTTATGGAATATATTCCACCTTCAGAGGATCTGTTTTGTCTTCTAGTTTTAAAGGTACCCGAGTAGAAGCTGTGAACACTCAGTTCTACAACAATTCAGCTTTTCAAGGAGGGGTAGCTAGCATTGAACAAGAAAGCTATTTCCAATGCACAAACTGCTCTTTCCATAGTAACTTCGGAGTCGAAGCTGCAGTTATATTCCAGGTTTTAAACGGATATACCAGGCTGAATGAATGTAAAATATTCCAGAATTATGCTCTTTCAAAACCTTTCTTAGAGATTTTGGAGAGTGTCAACCTGTCTATTTTAAACAAATGAGACATTCATGGCAACAAAATAGTTACTGCCACTGATATATTAAGCCAAGTTTCAGGTCAATGAAGCACACTATGATTTTTGCCTAGCGAAGCATACACTTCTGCTGTAGTTTCGAATTTGATGACAACTTTAAGAGAAGATCATTCAATATTCAGTATAGCTTATGGCAATCTGAGATTAGAAAATCAAACAATGATATATAATTCAGATACTATCACAAAAAGTTTTGAGTCAACTCTCTCAGTTGTGCAAAGCAAGATATACAACACAACTTCTTCCAAACAGCCTTTTGTCTTGGCTTCCTGAACTTTGAATATGGAGAATGTGACTTTTGAATATATTACTAAAGGAGAAGAAGTTGCTCTGATTAGTACAAATATAGGATCATCCGTCAATCTCAATAATATTGTCTATCAATCGTCACTAGGTCCTTTTTCTCAACTAACAAGCAGTGCAGTGGAAATTAATAACCTATCCGTATCAAGCATTGTTTCTCAAATTGCAATTGTTCAGGTTTATTCTGCTATAGATACTATATTGAGTAATGTTTCAATACAAAATATTTCTGGGTCGCTTGATTCTGTAATTTCTATTGAAAAATCAAACGTGAATTTGATCTCATATCTCCAACTCAAGCATCTTCTTTACGGAGGAATATACTTAAAGCAAGTGAAGATGGCAAAAATGGAATCATCTACTCTTTTTAACTTGACTTATGGATTAAGAATTGAATCTTCAGACATTGCAGAAATCACAAAGTGTATTTTTAAGTATCTAGGAGATGATAATTTACAAAAAGGCGGAGCTCTATGGTTGACCCAGAGTAATACAACTATTATTAATAATGATATTAATAACAACAGAGCTATTGCTGGAGGAGCTGTGAATATACAATGCAAAGATGCTAAAAATAAAGAACATTGAAAGGTTAGTCTAATATCCAATAGATTTCACAATAACTCTGCAGTGAAGATGGGTGGTGCTCTGTATTATGATTCATGGAGACCTCAAAACAAATTGAATTCATTCCTTTCAAATAATGCTTCATACGGCTCAGATATTGCCAGCTATCCAGTGAGAATTGTTCTAAAAGAGAAAGAAAACTTGCATATGAATCTCAAAAATGTAGGAAGCGGAATTAAATACCCCGATAATTTAACTTTCTCAATAATTGATTACGATGAACAAGAAATAGAGAATGACAATACCTCGCAGATAAAGATCAGTCCAGTTACCCCAAATGCTACAGTAAAAGGAATTGATTATGCCAGAGTAACTAAAGGGGTTGGGATATTTGAGAACTTAAGGTTCATCTATAAACCAGGAGCTGAGAAAATCCAATATGTTGTAAACTCAAAGAGCCTTGACAAACCCTTACTCAGAACAATTCTGGGATCTTATGTTGCTGACAACTTATTGACAGTTGACTTCAGATGGTGAAAACCTGGAGAAATCATTGAATCTAACCATAGCTGAAGAGTCTGAGACCAAGGAGCTTACTCAACAATTTGGAATTCAACTTCTTGCAATAAATGCATGAATAATGCAGTGTGAGCAGGAGGAAGTCAAATCGAATTGAAAAAGGGTTATTGGAGAAATAGCCTAAATTCTACAGATATTATCCGTTGCCCGATTCTTGACTCATGAGAAGGAGGTTATTCTGAATCTAATGAATTTCCAGTGCAGTGCTCTTCTGGACACACAGGCTTTCTTTGAACCACTTGTACAAGTTCTGATAATGATGAAAAATATATGAGAACTGGCTTATATAAATGTGAAAAATGTCCTGACCCTCTTTATAACACAATTAGAGTTTTGGGTTTTTCTATAATTCTGTTAATGTTTTTCATCTTTCTTGTTATTATTAATATCAAGAAGAGGAATGAGAGCCAGACATCAATTTTATTAAGAATACTGACGAATTATTTTCAACTGATAAGCTTAACACCTTCTTATCAGTTTAATTATCCAGAGTCAATCTACCATGCTTTCAACCCGATAGAGAAAGTTGGTTCATCATCAGAGTCTTTCTTATCTTTTGACTGATTTTTCTCTGACTCAAATATTGTTGCTTTTACTCCTTCGACAGTCATTTTTAAACTGTTTCTGTCAGCTATCCTTCCTGCCATTGCTATCGTATTAATTGTGCTATTCTGGGTAGGTTTCAGCTATACAAACTTTAAGTGGTGCCAGGATACAAAGAGGGGTATCACAGTGACAGTTATTTGCTTGTTGTTCTTGATACACCCAACTCTGACGAATCTATCGCTGACAATGTTCCAGTGCACAAACGTTGGAGATGAACTGAGCAGAATGACCATTGACATGGAAATTGAATGATTCTCAAGCGAGCATTTTAAGTGGGCATTCTCCTTTGGACTCCCTATGCTTGTAGTTTGGGTTTTTGCTCTTCCAGCTATTGTTCTTATAATTTTGATAAAGGAAAGAAAAAATTTAGAAAGATTGTATGTGAGGAGGTATTTCTTAGTACTCTACCAAGGACTTAAACCTCAAGCTTTCTACTGGGAATTTATAAACACCTTGAGGAAAATTCTCATACCGTTATTTAATGTACTTTTATCAAGATCAAGTAGGTTTTATCAAGTGGTTGTTGCAATAATAATCCTCTTGTTTATCTTCAGACTCCAGCAATACATCAAGCCATATAAGTTAGAAGAAAATAATCAAATAGAGATTCTTGCTGTTCTAGCTGGAATAGTAACTCTATTTTCATCAATAATATTCCTTGATTCAATCGACAGAGAAGACTTAAGAGACTCAAGTATTGCAAAGATATTTTCTATATTCTTCATTATCTTCATAAATTCATACTTTATCTTGAGATGGATCCATCTTTTCTTAAGTTGACTCAAGTCAAAGAATTCAGCATTAAGAGCAATTAGAGGAGCACTTGGGTGAATCCTGATGAAAAATAAAAGCCCAAAGCTTCCTGAAATAGTCGAACCAGATAATCATACTCTCCAAAAACAACCTAGCAAATTGTAAATTAACATCTTAACCTATAGAAAATCATCAAAACCTAAAACTCCAAGATTTAAGAAGAAAAAACTCCTCAGGAAAAGAGTCCCTAAACAGAATCTCAAAAGGAGGTACCAAAACCCCCAAATCTCCAATCCTTCCCTTTCTCCAGTCGATCTGAACTCTAAATCCAGTTTCATTCCTGATATGGACTCTGAAGGAGGTTTCAGGTACCTTCCTAGCACTCCAGTCATGAGGCATCCAAAGAAGTCAAGATTTTACCCAGATTCCTAAGATTCTTCATAATTTCATTTCAGAGGCTCAACTTTGGTCGTTTTATTGGTAGAAGGTGGATAATGGGTGCATGCTTGAGTGCGGAGGGAATAGATTAGTAGGGAGGTGGGTACAGTGGAGGGTTGTGGACATGGATTGGTAGTGAACGGATTAGGAAGTGTTTGGTAGATAGAGGGAGAGTGTAGTGGGACTGAAAGGTGGGAGAATTAGGAATGAAAAGGGGTAGAAGGTTTATTAGCTCTTGATTTTGTTTTTGTCGTTGATAAAACTTAAAATATGTGTTTAGAGTTTTGGGTATGGGATGCTAATCGAAGGATTAAAATTTTGCTGTTTGGTGTTGCTGAATTTTAGGCTATGTTCAAAACCCCAAAATTCCAAATACATATTTTGAGTTTTGACTATTGATGAGCTAGATTCAAGAGTCAGCAACCTTTTTGTTCCAAAGCGAATCAGAGTCCTCTCAATATATTTCCCCCATCTATACAACAACCTCAATCCACCACCCCTATCCAACCTCCCCACTCCAAAAAACACCTCCTAACAAACCCCACACAACTACCACCCACATTTCTTCCACCCCACTCATCACACCTCCCCCAAAACCCCCATTTTCCCCTCCTATCCCACTCACACCCCCATTCTGTACAGCCCCTAAAATTCCCAAAATAGCCCCTCAAAACCCCAAAAGTGGCCACTCAGAAGACCTAGGGCCTATATGTTCTACTAGTGCAGCCTGTACGGGAAGAGAGGTGTCATTGGAGCCAAAGAAGTTTAGTGCTGGGAGAGGTGGGGGATTTGGTGCAGGTGGGAGAGAAGGGGTGGGTGGGTTAGGAGGAAGGGGGTGGAGAGGATTAGGGGAAGGATTAATTGTTATGGGGGTGAAGAAGGGGATGTGAATTTGATGTTAGGGAGTATGTCTCAGTGTTGATATTGAATCTTGTAGGGTATAAACTGAGAAATATGAAAAGATAATCAGTAATTATAAAAAATGTATAACTTAAATTCTAAGAAACTCTTAATATATTGTTCCCAATTTGCCATGGGGTTTTGGGGTTTTGGGGTTTTGGGG